ACCGCCTTCGCTGTCAAAGGCTCAGCGGGGCTCCCCCGCTGCTCACTAATTAGCGCGGCCCAGCCACACCTGCAGCGTCCCGGGAGCGAGCAGAGACAGGCGCCCATGCGTGAGGCCAGGGTGGGGGCAAGCCCGGGGCAGCAGGTCCCGCACCTCCTCCCTGATCCCCGCTGGAGGGATTAGGGGAGGGAGGGTTGGGGCTGGAAGCTGAGGGTTCTTAGCGTCGGCTCAAACCCTGCCGTTGGGACTCTCTTGGTGTAACTCCCCTTCCATTGAGGAAATTGAGATGGGCCCCAAAGCCGCTTGGCACCCGAGGCCTAGGAGGTCTGGACTCACTCCATCCTGCCTGCCAGGCTGCCAGCTGGTCCTCCCCGCCCTTTGCTCATGCTGGGCACCCCCCCACCACCACCACCGCCACCACAAGACCAGATAAAGCCCCAGGGCACCTCCTCCCCTGCTAGAGTGAAGATCCTTGGGGAACAATTCTAGCTTCATGGGAGGCAGAGGGGACCCTTCTGTCCCAAGATGGCCATTGCCAGGGGTCACACTCTCCCTCTGCCCATGCACTGAAATCGCCCTAAAATGCCTCAGGCCCCTTTAGTCCACCTCTTCCAGAAACGCAAGGCTTCTCAAGTTGCCCTGGACTCCCCTCCACCCATGGCCCAGCAGAGGCTGGGGGTGGGGGGCACTGGCCCTCCTCACCCCAGCTCTCCTTGGTTGGGAGGTGCTTAAAGTACCGGTTAGAGGGCCAGGCTGAAGGAGAGCAGGCCAGGAGGGACAGAGAGGTCGGGCTGCCAGTGTACCAAGGGCAGCGGCTCTGGGCATCTTCTAACCCTTCTCTGGTCCTGAACCTATTCTCACCCCCAGAGGGAAGGTCCTCCCCAGCGCCAGTCACGGAGGAGGGAGGAGGCAAGGAGTGTACTGAGGATCTGAACCTGGCCTAGGCCTGGGAGGTGTCTGGGCTGGCCTGGGGCTGGCTCCGGAGTGTATGCTGTGGGAACGCTTGGTGTTCAGCCAAAGCCCAGTCACTGTGGGGGAGCAAAGCCTGGGGGCTCCCCCCTGCACTGATCTTTGCTCTGCATCAGCTGTTGGCTATGAAGCAAACATGCAGGGGTGCTGTCACCCCTGGATTCCAGCTTGGGTTGGAACCTCCAGAGTGCTGACTGTAAATAAGGGCCTGGCCTAGTGGGAACTGGTTAGAGGCTGCTTCAAGCCTGAGGCCCTGCCTGGAGGAGGCATGTGGGGTAAGACTGGATCTGCAGGGTCCCTGGGAGAACACATTCCAGGGAGAAGGAAAGCAGAGCATGAACATCCAGATTCCACAGGGTCAGCCCACAGGGAAGGAGGGAAGAGACTGCAGGGATGGGTCATCACAGGGACTGGGGAGCGTCAGACACCCCAGCCCAGGGCTCCAGGCCTGGCTGGGCACCAGATTCAAGCAGGCTGGTCACTGCATATTTCTGGGCCTTGGGGAGCCCAGCTTTGGCCCAAAGAGAATCTGGACTTCCCATCATCCTCCTTGCCCCCCTGCACAGCAGACCTGCAGGGCCTGGTTGAGAAACCTGACCCCACCCCACTCACTTTTCCTTAGCTGGAATGTGCCCCACCCTCAGCACCTGCCTCAGGCCTCAGGAGGAGCCCTCACACCCCAGGCTCTGCTACCCTGTGCCCCTGGGCTGCTGCTTGTTTTCAGCTTCCCTCAGCTCCCCCACCTGCCTCCTCAGTGGAACTGGGTAGCTACAGAGGATTAGGGGGACAGAGCGGAGCAGGGAGAGGCTGTCAGCCCGCTTCCCCTCACCCCACACATCCTGTTAGAAGCTTCTGGCTCTGCTTAGTTGGGGCTGGCCAGGCTGGTTTACTCCAGTGAGTTGGGCTGTCTGAGAATTTGAGAGTCTGCCAGGCCAGGGAGAGTGACCTTGGACAAGGATATTGGGGTTTGGTCCTTTGGTCCTTGCTGGGTTCTCTGGCCTAGATGGCAGGACATGGCCCACCCCAGCAAGCCTGGCACACGCAAGGCTGCCCCCTCTGAAACCTACAAGGATCCACCTAGCACCTATGGGCACATGCGTGTCCCCACACCTGGACACCTGCCCTCACCCCAGCGTATACACACACATTGCCACATTCAGGCATGTGACGTCACCTGAGCAGGCCTGCACATACACACGCACACACACCTTGGCCTGAGTGCACAAGCACACACGCTTCCTCGCCCCTAGTAAAGGTGGGAGCATCCCCTCAGCACGTGCTCCCCATGTACGCTTACGCACAGACACCCTCCTTCAGAGCTCACACATGACAGGCACGCACTGGCACGACACAGGCAGGGGCAACTATGACCTCATGCTAAGAAGGCTCACATCCTCCACATTGCCACACATGTCACTTCCAGCATGCTGTATCATACAGGTCCTCACGCTCAGTGTCTCGGTGCTCGTCTCACACACGGTCACACGGAAGCGCAGACGTGAGCGCACATGCGCACCTGCACACACACATGCGTTCTCTCTCAGGGCCAGCGGGGAGCTCTCTGGACTTCGGGTTTTAGTGCAGGTTCAGGGTGAGGATAGCTGCTCCTCTGGGGTAGCCTTGGCTGGGGACACCTGCCCCTCCACCTGCACAGGTGGCCCCCTGCCCAGGAGGCCCCACTGCAGCTCCTCCTGGCCGGGGAGCCCCTTAGGGGTCCCCAGGTCTCAGACCCTTCTCTTTTCCTGAGGCTAGAGGCAGGGATGGACCCAGTGGCCCCCTCCCGCTCCCACCCCACCCTCACCCACTGAGGGGCCGTACTCACTGACTCGGGGGTGAGTGATGTAGTTTCGAGTGACGGCCTGCACATGCTCTCGGGCTGCTCCCAGGCTGCAGTCACTGCCAGGAAGCCCCCCGGACCTGCTCTCTACCTTCATGGCCATGGCGGTGCGGTGGCCGGCTGGGAACCAAGTGCCTTAGCCGCTGGTGGCAGCTCTAAGACTTCAGGCCCAGCTGGAGCTGGAGAAAGCTGCCTAGCCTGCCCCTGCGGCCACTCCTCCTCTCCACCCTCCTGTTTCCTCTGCTCCTCCCTAGGCTGACTGTAAACAGGCCGCCCTGCACTCCGGCTCAGAACTCCTCCACACAGGCATGCAGAGCTGGGGGGAGCCCCTGTGACCTAGGGCCTGGAGGATGGTGAGGGACAGGGCAGGAGAGGACTGGCTTCTTTAACCCGTGTTGGGCTCTTCCTCTGCCCCAACACAACAAGTGTGAATTCAGTTTCAGGCACTCTGATAGTCCCCCCCATACACACCTCTTCCTGGTCTCCACCCAATTGGCAATTTCTGGCAGGCTGCCCTCTCCTTGCAGTCCCCCCACCTGCCCTCACCCTGCACTCCTTGACCTGAATATGCCAGGGTACTTCTTCCCCTACACAAGATTACCATCACCCTTTGGAACGTCTAGAGAGGCTCATTTTCCGACTAGTTTTAGCACCACCTCTTACAGGAAGCCTCCCCTGAATTCTCTGTCACTCTGGATTCCCTATGTATCTGGTTTCCCTTAGAGTAGGCCTTCCTTATTGCTGTCACTGGGCTGTGAGCCCTCAAGAGCTAAGTTCATGTCCCCTCCCTCAGACCTGGGTCTCCTCAGGTCTCTCCGTCTCATACCATTGAGAGCTTCCTGAGAACTAGGACTGGTCTCTCTCCATCTGGTCTTAGAACTGTCACCTCCAGAGTCCATTACAGCTTGCCCTGACGTTTTATCCCGCAGCAGAAAGCACTAATAGAGGTCCAGGTATTGCATATGTAGATATTTGGAATATTTGGAGTTATAAATCAAGCCATGTCCACAGCCTGGCCTGGGTTCCACCCAGACCTCACCACAGCTTTCAAGAACCCTGTTCAGGGGACCAGCAGTTAGTGTAATGGCTATGTCGCTAGACTCCCCTGTAGTCAACCGCAGTTCGAGTCCCAGACCCAGTGGCTTAAACTCAGGCCAGGCACTTGTGCGTGCGTGCTCAAGATCCCGAGAGAAGAATGGAAGAGAAGGGAGTGCGGTGTGGCCATCCCCCCTGGGGGGTGATTTCTCATTTTCTTTCTGTCTCTCTGTCTCTCTTTGATTTTCTGGCGAGCGCACGCGCCCTATAGCAAAAACCTCTCAAAAGAAAAGAATAGAAAAAAAATAATAATAATGCTGTTCATGCCAGGTAGCTAAAGAAGTTGTGCTGTCCCCAGGCCAGCGGAGCTGGGCAAGGCAGGGTGGATGCCAGGGGGTGGCTGGACCCTTACAACCCAGGGTAACCACCCCTTACAATCCGGGTGGAAACCGTGCGCGTTGGCCCTGGTCACCCCCACGCCTCGTTTCAGACTCGAGGTTTCCTGCATTTCCAAGCCCCTCCTCAAACTCTACCACCAGAGAAGAGGGATTGTTGTCTGGAGAGCCCCGTCTCCCAGTGCCCCACTCTGGATGGCCAACTGGAAACGGAACCGGCCCTACTGCGATCCCTGGAGCAGATCGCACTGGTCTTTGCCTCCCACAGACTCACCCCTCACTCCCACCCTCCAGCCCAGGACCATCTCAGGGCTCTGGCCTCTCACAACTCCCGTTCTCTCAGCGAGCCCCTGTCATGCAGGCTGTGGGTGTCGGCACCACGGGGGAAGCAGAGGGGACCTCTGCAGTGACAGGAGAGCCCTGTGTCTTGCCCGTGGTGGTGGCCGCATGAGCTACGTGGTGATGAAGTGACGTAGAACTGTGCACGCACACGGTGGCAGTTCCTGGTCTCAGTATTTGTTCTGGTTTGAACGTGTCCCTCTACCTCCCTTCACGTGTTGGAGTTTAGTTATCACGGCATTAAGAGGGTGACAATTTAGGTGGGTGGCGGTGTAGAAAGATGGGGCTTTTGGGGGAGATTAGGATTAGATGAAGTCAGCAGGGTGGGACCCCATGATCGAATCCTTGGGGGTTGATAAAGAGCAGAACTGAGACAGACGTGGACACAGACACACAGACTCTTGCCATGGATGGAAGAGAAGGGAGTGCGGTGTGGCCATCCCCCCTGGGGGGTGATTTCTCATTTTCTTTCTGTCTCTCTGTCTCTCTTTGATTTTCTGGCGAGCGCACGCGCCCTATAGCAAAAACCTCTCAAAAGAAAAGAATAGAAAAAAAAAAATAATAATGCTGTTCATGCCAGGTAGCTAAAGAAGTTGTGCTGTCCCCAGGCCAGCGGAGCTGGGCAAGGCAGGGTGGATGCCAGGGGGTGGCTGGACCCTTACAACCCAGGGTAACCACCCCTTACAATCCGGGTGGAAACCGTGCGCGTTGGCCCTGGTCACCCCCACGCCTCGTTTCAGACTCGAGGTTTCCTGCATTTCCAAGCCCCTCCTCAAACTCTACCACCAGAGAAGAGGGATTGTTGTCTGGAGAGCCCCGTCTCCCAGTGCCCCACTCTGGATGGCCAACTGGAAACGGAACCGGCCCTACTGCGATCCCTGGAGCAGATCGCACTGGTCTTTGCCTCCCACAGACTCACCCCTCACTCCCACCCTCCAGCCCAGGACCATCTCAGGGCTCTGGCCTCTCACAACTCCCGTTCTCTCAGCGAGCCCCTGTCATGCAGGCTGTGGGTGTCGGCACCACGGGGGAAGCAGAGGGGACCTCTGCAGTGACAGGAGAGCCCTGTGTCTTGCCCGTGGTGGTGGCCGCATGAGCTACGTGGTGATGAAGTGACGTAGAACTGTGCACGCACACGGTGGCAGTTCCTGGTCTCAGTATTTGTTCTGGTTTGAACGTGTCCCTCTACCTCCCTTCACGTGTTGGAGTTTAGTTATCACGGCATTAAGAGGGTGACAATTTAGGTGGGTGGCGGTGTAGAAAGATGGGGCTTTTGGGGGAGATTAGGATTAGATGAAGTCAGCAGGGTGGGACCCCATGATCGAATCCTTGGGGGTTGATAAAGAGCAGAACTGAGACAGACGTGGACACAGACACACAGACTCTTGCCATGGATGCCCTGAGCCTGCCATGACTCCGCAGAGTCCCCACCAAGAAGAAGACTTGCACCAGCTGTGGCCCCTTGACCTTGGGCCTCCAAAACCGTGAGTTAAATAAAGCTCTCTCCTTTCTCAATTATCAGGGGTGGTATTCGGTCGTTAGCAACCGCAAAGTGGACTAAAACAAGGTTATACTGTAGGGACGGGAGATGCAACCGTTGGGGAGACTGAGCGAAGGCGCTTCCCTGTCCTATCTGTGCACACTACAATGACTATAAAATAAAAAGTTCAATAAAATTGTCTTGAGCAATAAAACAATTTTGAAGTGCTTCCCGGTGCAGAGTTTGTGATGGGCAGGCCCTCCCTAAACATGCGGGGTCTTGCCGGGATTTCCCTTCCATGCTGTCTCCCTCTCTGGGTCCTGGTCTCGTGGCTCATCGTTCACGCTCTGGAAGGCCACTCAGTGTTTTCCCTCTCAATCATTCGTGTTGGAAAGAGGAGTGCGCAAAGGGCAACACTTAGCCAAGGAGAGGATCTGGGTCGATACCGTGCGCCGTGGGGTGCCTGGCGGGTCTCGTGGTTCATCGTTCACGCTCTGGAAGGTCACTCAGTTCCCTCTCAATCATTCGTGTTGGAAAGAGGAGTGCGCAAAGGGCAACACTTAGCCAAGGAGAGGATCTGGGTCGATACCGTGCGCCGTGGGGTGCCTGGCGGGAGCTCTATTGGATGGGAGTCAGGTAGGTGCCTGTTGACCCCACATGCGAGCACCCCACTCCTCCTTAACCCCTGTTTCTGCCTCCTTCCATTCGTGGTCCCCCAACTCTTAGCTCGTTTTCCTTCCCAGGGAGACGTGAGGTAGAAGGGATTGAGGGGTGAGTGGTGTTGCTATGGGGACTGTTTCCCTTCTTGTTACCGATTCCTTTTATTTCAGTGAGAGACACACACGCACACACGCTGCACTCACGCACACAAGCTGCGGGACCAAGGCCATTTGGTCGAGAGTCTCTGAGCTGGGGGGCAGGCCTGGAGGGGCGTGGGCGGCCACCCCTCCTCTCCGGGCCAGCTCAGCTCAGTGCAGTCCGCTGGGGCACAGGAGGCTGGGGGCAGTGCTGTGCTTGGGGGCTCAGTGTCACACGGGGATGGGAGTCTTAAGTGTTAACTTTCTTGCCACCTCCGGGGCTGCCTACTCTCCCTTCTAACCGACTGTAGGGCTCGAAGGCCGAGGAGCCCAGTTCGTAGCCAGCAGGCAGGTCCAGGAGTGGGGCTGTGGAAAAGCAGACGGCCGGCAGAGGGGGCGGCAGCGGGGGGGACGCTGAGGCTGAGGGCAGCGGGTGGAGGCGCGGGGAAGAGTTCCTGGGGTCACCCAAGGCGGTGCCCCTATGGCCAGCAGGCAGGCCCGGCAGGCTGGGGCTCAGCGCCAGGAGGCGGGGGGCCCTGGGCACAGTGAGCAGCCGGCCCTGCTCCAGCAGCCGCAGAATGTTGGAGGTGGCGAAGGCCTCGGAGGCCGAGGAGGATGCCCGCTTCTCCAGGTCTCTGCTCTGGTCTTTCTTCTGCTTGGTGCGACGGTTCTGGAACCAGACCTTCACCTTGGGGTAGAGGGTAGGAAGGGGTGTCAGGAAGGGAGAGGGGACAGGTGAAGCAGAATGGGCAGGTGGGAGGAGAAGAGAAGAGGGGAGGCATAGGCCGGGCAGGGGTGGTGGACGGGAGTGGGATGGAGGCGCAGGGGTGGAGTGAGAGGGGAAAGAAGAGCAGATTGTCATTAAGGTCTCCTGCAACCAGCCTGCTCTGCACGAACTGACGAGGGACCCTGGTCCCCACGTAATAAACACCCCTCCACTGCTAAAACGGACTCTGGTCTAAGACGGAGGGAGGAGTCTGGGGACACACGCTCTGCTCTCAGCCCAGTTCACGGTCTCACCCCGATGTCTGTGCTGGGAACTCCAGACTCTACCTCGGGCCCAGACTTGGAGCTGAGACCTAGCTGTCTGTTGGACTTCTCCCCATGGGTATCTCAAAACCCCCAAATCCACACCTACAGACCCAGCTCAGGCCGACTTCTCCAAATAGGGGCCTCTCCTCACACTCCTTCTTCCATGCTGGCTACCCCCATCTACCCTGGCAGAAACCTGGGGTTCCCTAGAAGCCCCCTCATCCCCGGGGCAGACCTCCTGTCTCCCCTGCCTTCTCTGACCTGCACGGTGCGGGTTGTCTCTACAGCAGGGCCTCTCACCCTTGGTCACCCATGAGGACCACCTGAGTGGCTTGAAACTCACTCACTCCAACCTCAGGCCAATCAGCTCAGACCGAGGCAGCTGGGACTCAGACCGCAGTAGTTTACAAAGCTCAGCAGGTGAGCCCGGGGAGGGACCAGTGCTCTGAGAGTCTCTCTGTCCTGGGTGCAGACCTAACATTTTCAGGGCTGGGGCCAACAGGGAACATGGAAGCTTCTGGCTGATGGCCCGCCTTGGCTCCGACTTGAATTCATTTGGCCATCCCAGCCTGTCCACATTTCACAGACTGCCTCCATGGGCTGCTTCATGGGCCTGAGGTTCTGGATACTGTCTGTGGTTTGCCCTTGGGAAGCCTGACTTGGAAGAGGCCCGGGAAGGTGCTGGCCATGGGCTCAGGGCCACTTGGCAAGGTGTTCTGGAATCCCTGTCTAGAATTCAGGGATCCTGGTCTGAGATCCTGGTCTGTGGGGCGCTCTAGAAGGTGGACGCTGGTTCCTGACAGGCACAACCCTTTGGCTTTGCAAAGTCCTCAGCCCATAGTGGGTGGCCACAGTGGGGCCCCCTGAAGTGCAAGTCTCAGGCAGGGCCCAGCTGCCCTGTATGAGGACGATCCCCTCTCTGCCTCAGTCCTGGCCCCGCGCCGCCTCTGACTCAAGCTCGCTTTAACCTAACCTGGCAGTTCCCCTGATCTTTCTTTCTTTAGAGGAAGTGCTCCCCCAGAGAAGGCAGGCAAGGGGGCCTTCAAGGAGAAGGAGAGACTGCCATCTGCTCCCTGGCTGGAAACTTGTAAGGCCACAGCACCTTCAGGCCCATGTCCCCGGTGACACTGCAGGAGCGCTAAGTGCCTACCACATAGCAGGCGCTGTTCACGCCCAGGGACCACCAGGGAACACAGCAGAGCGAGCGCTCCCCATGTGGAGCAGACGGGGAGCAGGGGAGGCAGGTGACAAGCCACAGGTTAAAACAGACAAGCATGCTGGACAGCAGGCCATCGGGGCTTTGGGCAGTGTTGCTCAGTTATTCAAGGTGGTGGACTGCTTTGTTTTTTAAGTTTATTTTATTTCTTCTAGGAAAGAGAGAGGGAGGCACCCTCGACTGGCCATCATCATGTCTCAGCCCTCTCCACCACCACACAAGCTTCCAGTCAGCCAGGGTGACAGGAGCCTGTGAGCGCCCCCCAGGTGACCTGCGATCTGAACCCCAGTGGTCCGTGAGGCGACAGCATGGCAGTGCTGTGTGTCACTGACCATGCCCCACAGCTGGGCTGATGAAGCACTGTGAAGTTTCCAATCCTGTCATGGCCAATACTCTTATAGAGCACGATGGAAAGGACTTATAGGGAGAGTGGACGTATACAATTCTTTCTTTTTTTCTTTCTTTCTTTCTTTTTTTTTTAGATTTTTGATTTTTGTCATAGGATGTGTACACTCACCAGAGAGAGACAGAGAGAGGGAAGGTGAGAAATCACCCCGCCCAGAGGAGGTGGCCACACCACAGTACTTCCTCCTTTACTCTTCTCTTGGGATTTTAGACATGTACATGCATGCACCCAGCGTGATTTTCAAGCTGCCAGGTATGGGACTCGAACCACAGTCAGCCATGTGGGAGTCCAGTGCCTTAACCACCACACCACTCACTGGCTCCCTATGTATATATTTCTAAATACATATTCGCCATTAATCTCCCTTTTTTTTTTTTTTTTTTGGAGAGGTTTTTGCTATAGGGCGCATGCGCTTCCCAGACAGAGAGAGAGAGAGAGAGAGAGGGAGAGAGAGAGAGAGAGAGAGAGAGAGAGAGAGAGAGAGAAAGTGAGAAATCAGCCCCCAGAGGGTATGGCTACACCGCAATCCCTTCTCCTCCATTCTCCTCTTGGGATCTTGGGCATGCATGCACACACGCCTGGCGTGAGTTTTAAGCCACGGCGTCCGGGACTCAAATCGCAGTCGACTACATGGGAGTCCAGCGACATAGCCATTACACTAACTGCTGGTCCCTCCATTAACCTCCCTTAAACAGCAGTTGGTGGGCACCAGCCCAAGTACTTTGGAGGACATTACTTTAGAGAAACAGGAGAGGAAAAGACAGGAGTAGGTGACTATTTCATGAATGGGTGGCAATTACAGTCTCTCTGAAAAGATGAAACAAAGAGGGTCTCAGTAAGGGAGGGCTGAGAGAGATTTGACCAAGTCTGGCTGAAGGCTGTGATGGGAAAGAACGCTCTTCTGGACTCTGACTGCTCAGTGACACGGTCCTGCCAGACCTTGGGGACAGCAGTGCTGCATCTTGCTATGTTCCCCTCCCCCACCGACCCCGTGATTACCCCTCTTAGGCCCTCAGGTTAGGTACCACCTCCAGGAACCCCCGAACCTCAGTTTCTTATCTTTAAAATGGGACAGTCTGGGGACAAGCAGGTGGCGTAATGGTTACATCGCTGGACACTCACATAGTCTATGCAGTTCTAGTCCTGGAGCCGGCAGCTTAAAATTCACACAGGGCACGTGTGAGTGCATGCCCAAGATCCTGATAGAAGAATGGAGGAGAAGGGATTGCAACATGGCCATGCCCCCAGGGGGGTGAGTTCTCACTTTCTCTCTCTGTGTCTCTCTCTGTGTCTCTGGTGAGCACACATGCCCTATAGCAAAATCTCTCTCTCAAAAAAAAGAGTCAGTCTGGGACCAACAGGTTGCATGGTGGTTAAGGCACTGGACCCCGCATGGTCAAATGTGATTCGAGTCCCAGACCTGGTGGTTTGCTTTCTCACATTCTCTCTCTCTGTCTCTCTGGTCAAATTAAAAGATAATAATAATAAATAAAATGAAATAAAATAATTCTTTATAAAAAATGGGACTATTAAACGTGGAGATTAAATAAGAAAATCCATGCAGAGGGCTTACCATCACGCCTAGCCTCCACTTAGCGCAAGTTGTAATCATTTAGTTCTCCCTTTCTCTGGTCCTAGCTCTGAACGAGGGGCAGAGGAGGGACATGGAAGCCATGCATGACTCATGCCTTCAGGAAGCTGACGGTTGGTGAGGAGCAGCACTAACCTTTCAGCCAGCAGAGGGTAATTCAGTACAAGGGGAGTGGCACTAGGTCCACCCATGGCCTGGTGGCTAAGGGAGCCAGATCCCACATGGCTGACCAAGTTCAAATCCTGGTCCCTGTGGCTTCAAAAGCATGGTGAGTGTGTGTGCATGCATGCCCCAAATGCTGACAGGATGGAGAAATGGAGGAGAAGGGATTGAGGTGTGACCACGTCCTACTGAGGAGTGCTTTTTCCTTCTCCCTCTCTGTTTCTCTGTCTCTCTCTGTCCAGTACATATGCACTTTGGAAAAAATAATAATAAAAAAAGGAGCGGCAGTAACAAGGGTGTGCCCAACGGGAAACGACAGCCTTCTAAAAGGTTCTCTCCCACACGCCCTGTCTTCCCGCAGCGCCAGTCTCCCGAGGAGAGGTGTCTGTGGCCGGCGCTGGCTGTGGGAGTCCCTGAGAAGTGGGCCCTGGAAGGGAAGGAGAGAAGTCCGAAGGTAGTGGAGCAGGGCGGGACCCGCATACTTGTTCACAGGGCACATACGACTAGGGTGACGATTCTCAACCTGGGTACACCTTGCAACTACCTAGGCCCAGACCTCACCTCATCCCACACCCACTAAATCAGAATCTCTAGGAGGTGGGGCTGAGGCACTGATGTGTTTGTTTTTGTTTTAATTTGCTATAGGATGTGTGTGCTTGCCAGAGAGAGAGAGAGAGAGAGAGAGAGGGAAAGCGAGAAAATATCCCCCGGAGGGATGGCCACGCTGCAATCTCCTCTCTTCCATTCTCCTCTTGGCATTTTGGACCAGCCTGTTCTTCAAGCCACTGGATTCAGGATTCAAGTCACATAGTCATGTGGGATTCAGGCACTTAACCACCATGCTACCAGCCAACCCCACATTGGCCTTTTCTAAAGAGAGGTTTTTGTTATAGGGCTTGTGTGCGCACCAGGGAGACAGAGACAATAAGTGAGAAATCACCCCCCAGAGGGGTGACCACACCACAATCCTTTCTCCTCCATTCTCCTCTCGGGACCCTGGGCACGCACGCAAACACACCCAACATGAGTTTTAAGCCCCGGGGTCCAGGACTCAAACCACAGTTGGCCATGTGGGAGTCCAGTGCCATAACCAGTACGCCACCTGCTGGCCCCCCACATTGGTTTTGTTTTGTTTTGTTTTCAAGTTTTAGATATTTATTAACCAGTGTAAATCTCAACACCTCAAAATGATTTCATGCATTTAGCAGAGAACTATTTCCTGGTTAAATGGAAAATTATGCTGGTGGCTTCTGGAAGACCTTCATTATAAGCAGCTTTATA